CAATGATACGTGATAGCACTTGTGACACCTTTTCTTTTTGTTATATAAAAGGGGTAAGTATTTAAATCTCCTGCCTTGATTTATTAGTGCGTTGATAATCGGGAGACTTTTGTATAGTGGTTAGTCGGAGCAAGGAACAGTGTGTTCGGGAATTTGCCAGTGAGGTAGTCATTTGTGGGCTAAAACACATAACCACTGCAATAGAGAAAAAGAGTCCCACTGGTATCTTCATAGACTTTACGTAAAGCTTTTGATTACAGTTACCATGACCTTGCGCCATATAAAATTGTCGCACTATGTAATAGAGGCACTCTCTCAACTACCTAAAGCCTACCTTAAGCAACAGAAGCCAATAAGTGTACACAAACGGGGCAAAACCTTCACACAGCCAATTATAGTGTGGTGTACCACCAGGAAGTGTCCAGCCCCTCTTCTCTTTCCTCATATACATAAATGACCTACCAAATGCATCACAACTACTACTCAAACCCACACTATTTGCAGATGCACTACATTCAATCTTCCTCTCACCCCGGCTCATTCACGCTAGCCAATACTGTAAATACGAATTACCGAAAATATCTACCTTGTGAGTACTAACAAACTACTCTAAAACATTGGAAAAACCTACTTCATTCAGTTTGGTAACAGAGCTACAAGACGTCCCCCTCATAACATAATGATAACCGATACCTATCACAAAAGTCACAGAGGGAAAATTCTTTAGGAATCCACCTTGATAATAGACTCAAATTCAAACACATAATCAACAAAATTCCATAAAAATTTCCAAGACCGTGGCATACTATTGAAGATACAGTACTATGTTTTCCACAGTCAGCCGCCTGGCCCTATATCACTCTCTTATTTACCCTATCTCACTATTGAAATTTGTGCATGGGGCTCACCACCAATAAAACCATCTCAGAACCATTAATTACCCAACAAAAGGCTGCAGGCAGAATGATAAAAAATACCACTACAGGCAGCCCACTCCACCTATATTCAAAACTCTAAAAACCTAACCCTACTCACCATACAAAACATCCATACTTATTACTGCACCTATTACATTCATATAACACTTAATTCTGATATAAACCCTCCCCTCAAACGTCCTTCCTTACCAACCTCAACAGAACACACACCATCAAACAAAATAACGACACAGATCACTCTTTGAATGTTCCTCGAGGCCAGCTCACCTATGCAAAAACTCAATGCACATAAAAGGCCCTAAAATCCTGAATTCATTACCCGTGAATATAAAAGAAATAACTAGTCTGTTTATTAAATTCAATCTCTTCTAAAAAATCACTACTCACCCACAGCTAAAGAACTACTGAATAACTGTATCGCATAAAATTGTATCTTGTATATGTTTCGCATTATTGTATCTCATAAAGTCCTAACCTGTGACCCATGCAAAACTATATTTGTAATTACATTACCTAACAGAATACTCCATTCTACAGAATGCTCAGCAACACAGTAAATCACCAATGACCTTCTTTGTAATACTCATTTGTGCCAAAGTGTTTATCTGTTTTACAATAATGTTTATACCAATGAATTATCCATAGCCTAGTTAATCTTAAGTAATTTTAACCTGCACATAATGCTCTTCATACAAGGGCTTGGCAGGTTGCACTGTAATAACTTTGTACTTCACTGTATCAGTTCAAATTAATAACTCAATTAAAATAATAAAATAAATTAAAAAAGCATATATACGTCTAACGAGCCGCCGTGTTGACGTATATATACTCATAAAATCTAACGCGTACAAATCATGCAGGAGAAAGCTGTAGGCCCACACTGTTTTTTTTTAATAAAATGCTGGTCTGGTGGCCAGTGTGCACCATATAAAAAAAATCCTGGAGCACTGCAGTGCATAAAATGAATAAAAAAAACTCCGACCATTTTTTTTTAATTAAAATGCCGACTTGTGGTCTAGTTATTTGTATAATATTTAAAGATTCTATTTTTTCGTTTTCTTGGTCTCATTGATAGAATGGAAAACATATTGTAGAAATAAGGTGATTTTAGATTGGTTTTACTATAAAAAGAACCTGGAAATGGAGCGCAAGTAGGGAAAATGTTTGATTTTGCCTATGTTCAAAAGTAAACAAAAGAGTCATTGGCCAATAAATGTCCAAATAGCCATTTCTAATATACAATCATGAATGGGTTGAATTACTATATACAATTATTACAATAGTTCAGTAGTCTGCATAACAGTAAATCTTCTATTGTTTTGTTTGAATAATAATTTCAAAGTAAAAGCAAGAGTAATCTCGAGGGCCTGGAGAGCGTGACTGATGAATAACAAAGAAAAGTTATTTTAGAGCCAGAAATGTCTGCACTGTCATTCTCTGGACCTTATTATGAAATTGTGCCGTATTTTTTAATTTCGTGAAATTGGCCATATTGCAAATTTCTGACCATGTATTGGTAGTTGTAAATCGATAAATGGGCAGTTTTCTTGACTCAATCGATAGAAAAATGGAGTTCTAAAGAAATAGCTATGAGTTTGGTCGACTGGAACAATGGAATTTAGCTCAAAATAGGGCTCAAAGTGGGCAATAGCGGCCGATTTGTAAATATAGCCAAGGACGCTTATTTTGCGAGAGCGTAATACCGTCAGTTTTCCCATCAAAAATTCGATATTTTGGGTCATTACTATCAGGAAAAGATTCTCTTTAATCATTTTCATAAGAAAAATAAATTTTTTTTTTATGAAATTTTGCAACACCAGGAGACACCGAGGATTGGGGGTTGCGACAGTCACGGGTTAAAAGTCCCCATGGAAATAAGTTACTGTCCTGACTTTTTGTGGGGGTTGGGTATCTTGGTTCTCTCTCTACACATATGCTGCTGATGTATGATAATTCTATGTAAACTGTATGTGTGTATACCTGAATAAACTTACCTTATTCTTCAACAAACACCTTTTGTGGACAGAAATGTAGCATGGTCATGAGGTGTACCAAGTAAATTTATGTACAGGCATACATAAATACAATTATCATACATAGTGTAAATTACCTAAGATAATCCAAAAAAAGTCAAAGTGCACTTATTTCCATTTGGTCCTTTGAATGACCACTCCTTTTCGGTGTCATATGGAGTCTCTGTAATAAGGGTTTTTAACCTTTGGTTAATGTATTGTTTCAGGTAAAATAGTAAGGAAGGCTAGAAAAAACACATCAGTTGATGGAGAGGGAATAATTATCCACTGAAAATCTGGTTTTATTATAAGGTAAGCAAAGAATGACCCAAATTTATGTCATAATCTCTCTCTTATTTTAGACTTTCAAATTACAAACAGTATAAAAAGCTGTGCCAGTAGGCTATTGGAGGTTACAACTAATCTATAAAATAGTCTGGTAAATAGTGGATGGAATTGGCAGAAAAATTTACTAAGATTTGTGAAATGATAATTGATTTTTGAAGATTATGATGTGGGAGCCTGCCTGGGAAAGAGACAGTTGCGCCAGTGAAAACAACCAAAAAGAAACACATTTTGAAAGTACAGTAACAAAGAAACTTGTGAAGTGGGTAAGAGTAAAAAAAAATAAAAGTGTTACATGTATCAAAAAAAATAGAGGAACAGAGAAGATGCAATAAAGTTTTTTTTTTTTTTTTTAAATTTTGAACACTATTAGTAACAAGGTGAACTACAATTAATTGTACATAGAAAAAACATTTCATGTTAGCATAAGTTGACCTGGACCATAAGATGGGGGAGTACACTCTGACTGTATTAATCAACTTGCATAACCCTTGCTACCAGCTGCTGGTATACTCAGACTCAACACATGGATGTAAACTGATTTTTTCTGCATCAGTATTCAGTACATGCAGTGTTGTCATATCTGAGGAAGCTGGTGATAATGGTTATATTTAAAATGTTTATCATCATGGACCTCACAGGTCTAACAAATAGGAATAAATTAACTGTTTTATGCCTATCAGTCAACACATGCATTGTTTCCATATCCTCTTTATCATCAGGGTTAATATGTGAGGAAACTGGTGACAAGGTTTATATACTCTATATAAACACTAACACTTATATGTGTTTAAAGCATAAGTTTTAAACTTTGCAGTGAAGAAGTGGTGGAGATGTCATGTTCGAAGATGTGTGGTGTAAATATTCTGCTGAGAATTCCAAATATAGAAGTTAATGGGAGTAGGACTTCGAAGAATATAATTCAGAGGGCTGAGAAGGGGTTGTTGTGAGGTGTTTGGGTACCTAGAGAGGATGGAACAAAACACGATGTCTGAGAGGGCATATTGTATAAATCTGAAGTGGAGAAGGAAGGGGGAGGGGGCAGCCCAGGAAGAGCTGGAGGGAGGAGGTAAAGGAGGTTTTGAGTGCTAAGGGCTTGAACATTCAAAAGGATGTAAGCACGTTCGAAAGGAGTGAGTGGAGGCACGTGGTTTTTATTACTTGATGTATTGTTGGAGTGTAAGGAAGGTAATATTAATGAAGGGATTCAGTGGAAACTGGTTAGCCAGACTTGAGTCGTAGAGGTGGAACATACATTTATTGCACTCTAAAAGATGGGTAGGGATGGTGTAGCTTGGAGGGTCATCTAAACTGTGATGTCAGCACACTTTTGGCAAAAGTCATCGACTAAATGATAGTGAATGTGTTTACTGTAGGGAAGTATAATTTCTCTTATTGTTAATATTACTTTTTTGTTCATCTTATAAACACAAACAGTTCTCGAGGTCTTTGGTTGTAAGGATACAGTATTCTAGCCAAATAAACATCTTTATCTTTACAATTTACATGATCATGATTCTATTAAGTAGGGAGCATAAAATGAAGCAGTTACTATATCTGATGTGCTTTTACAGAATATGTATTGAATAAAATGCCATCAAAAATTGTTGTATTTCTGAGTGAATGATTTATATTTTTATAGTTGAATAAAGTTAAAGTGTGAACTTATATTACAGTGAGTATCTTCGTCCAGAGGATGTAGGAATTTGCTACTACCTGCCAGGCTACATACTACGTCACCACTACTGCTAAATTTTGGTTTTCTATGTATAGAAGGTATTTCACCTTAATTTGCACTTTTTATACTTTAATTCTGATGAACTGCTTTTCGTTTTTCATATATTTTTTTTAACCACACTGGCTGTTCCTACCGAGGTAGGGTGACCCAAAAAGAAGAAATACTTTCATTAATAAAAAAAATGCCTAGGCATGCTAGTGGCTTTTTTTGTAATTAATATCTTATAATATGTAAACCACACATTGTAAGCTTTGCAAGGAAATAAACATTTTCATTTTCAGTAATTATATGACACATCTGTTGCCTCTCAAAAAATATGCACATCCAGACATCCTTTCATCAGTCTTTTATCTACGAACACGAGTCAAGCTGCTGTTATCATGCTGAGTATCATATCGTGTGCTTATCTGTTCTCTTTTTTTTAAAATATGTATTACCACTTTGACAATTTTCTTCTTCTTATTCTTTTTAGTAATCTTTACAGGAAAAGGGGTTACTAGCCCATTGTTCCCGGCATTTTAGTTGACTTTTACAACACGCATGGCTTATGGAGGAAAGATTCTTATTCCACTTCCCATGGATATAAAAGGAAAAGTAATAAGACCAAGAACTATTAAGATAAAATCAAAGAAAACTCAGATGAGTGTGTATAAATAAACGTGTACATGTATGTGTAGTGTGACCTAAGTGTAAGTAGAAGTAGCAAGACATGCCTGTAATCTTGCATATTTATGAGACAGACAAAAGACACCAGCAAATCCTACTATCATGTAAAACAATTACAGGCTTTCATTTTACACTCACTTGGCAGGACGGTAGTACCTCCCTGGGTGGTTGCTATCTACCAACCTACTACCATAGGTGGTAAGTTACTAAATGCTGTAAAGAGCTTTTATGAGGATAGTGAGGCTCAGGTTAGGGTATGTAGAAGAGAGGGAGAATACTTCCTGGTAAAAGTAGGTCTTAGACAGGGATGTGTAATGTCACCATGGTTGTTTAATATATTTATAGATGGGGTTGTAAAAGAAGTAAATGCTAGGGTGTTCGGGAGAGGGGTGGGATTAAATTATGGGGAATCAAATTCAAAATGGGAACTGACACAGTTACTTTTTGCTGATGATACTGTGCTTATGGGAGATTCTAAAGAAAAATTGCAAAGGTTATGATGAGTTTGAGATAGTGTGTAAGGTAGAAAAAAATTTGAAAGTGAAAACATAGAAAAAGAGTAAGGGTGGATGAGGGTATCAAATGATTTAGATAAAGAAAAATTGGATATCAAATTGGGAAGGAGAGTATGGAAGAAGTGAATGTTTCCAGATACTTGGGAGTTGACGTGTCGGCGGATGGGTTATGAGGATGAGGTTAAACATAGAATTGATGAGGGAAAAAGGTGAGTGGTGCTTGAGGTATATGTGGGTCAAAAAGGTTATCTATGGAGGCAAAGAAGGGAATGTATGAAAGTATAGTAGTACCAACACTCTTATATGGATGTGAAGCTTGGGTGGTAAATGCAGCAGCGAGGAGACGGTTGGAGGCAGTGGAGATGTCCCGTCTAAGGGCAATGTGTGGTGTAAATATTATGCAGAAAATTCGGAGTGTGGAAATTAGGAGAAGGTGTGGAGTTAATAAAAGCATTAATCAGAGGGCAGAAGAGGGGTTGTTGAGGTGGTTTGGTCATTTAGAGAGAATGGATCAAAGTAGAATGACATGGAAAGCATATAAATCTATAGGGAAAGGAAGGAGGGGTAGGGGTCGTCCTCGAAAGGGTTGGAAAGAGGGGGTAAAGGAGGTTTTGTGGGCAAGGGGCTTGGACTTCCAGCAAGCGTGCATGAGCGTGTTAGATAGGAGTGAATGGAGATGAATGATACTTGGGACCTGACGATCTGTTGGAGTGTGAGCAGGGTAATATTTAGTGAAGGGATTCAGGGAAACCCTTCTGGCAAGACAGTGATGGAGTGAATAATGGTGAAAGTTTTTCTTTTTCGGGCCACCCTGCCTTGGTGGGAATCGGCCAGTGTGATTAAAAAAAAAAAAAAAAAAAAAAAAAAAAATTCAGGGAAACTGGTTATTTTCATATAGTCGGACTTGAGTCCTGGATATGGGAAGTACAGTGCCTGCATTTTAAAGGAGGGGTTTGGGATATTGGCAGTTTGGAGGGATATGTTGTGTATCTTTATACGTATATGCTTCTAAACTGTTGTATTCTGAGCACCTCTGCAAAAACAGCGATAATGTGTGAGTGTGGTGAAAGTGTTGAATGATGATGAAAGTATTTTCTTTTTGGGGATTTTCTTTCTTTTTTTGGGTCACCCTGCCTCGGTGGGAGACGGCCGACTTGTTGAAAAAAAAAAAAAATGTATTACCTATTAACAAACCTCTTTCTATACAAAGTTCAATTAAAGGCTGTGATAATTACTTATTATGCTTTCTACAACAGTGTCTCCCACTTTAGCGTATAGGTCAATCACAATTGCTTTTTCACTTGATTCAAAACTCTCTAAACTCTCACAGAACATCTCCCAAAATCTCAATCTCTCTCTCCTAAACTCCTCTCTTCCCCATATGCATAAACACTTAATATAACTCACTTTTTTTTTATTTTAATTCACATAATCCTTGAATTTATGCATTTATATTACCTCTTTTCCTTCCATAACTGATCCTTCAACATTACTGCTACTCCATCCTTAGTACAAATTCTCTTGGATACACCTGACTTAAACCTGTTTATTTCTCCCTACTGAAATTCTCCTACCCCCTTCAGCTTTATTTCACTTATGGCTAGAACATCCAGTTTCTTTTCATTCATAGCATTCACAATCATCTCTTTATCATCATCTGTACTACATACATGCATATTCAAACATCCCAACTTTACCCCTTTGAGGGTTCATCCCGTAATTCTATGGCTTTGAAGCCTGAGTCCAAGCCGTAGTTCTATGCCATGAGCTCAGCTCACTCAAATAAGCTGTGAGTGGTAAATTTGGGTCTAAATATGAAACAATGCATCCATGTGGTAAGCGTGCACCATATAAAGTAAATCCTGCAGCATGCAGTGCATAATGAGAAAAAAAATGAGACCGTGTTTTTGTATTAAAATGACGACTTTGTGGTGTATTTTCCTATGTTTTTGTTAGAATGGAAGATATATCACAGAAATAGAGATGATTTTGATTGGTTTTAGTACTGAAAATGGCTTGAATCTGAGCTCAAACTAGCAGAAATGTTCAATTTTTGCCAATGTTCAAGAGTAAACAAATGACATACACGTACAATACACATCAGCTGCTGGGTCTGATGTGCGTTCACGAATGCATTGATATTATTTATACAATTATTACAATACAGTATTGCATAATAGTAAATCTTCTGTTTTTTGGTGTGAATAAAAATTCATTAACTAATAAACAGAGGAAATGTTATTTTAGTGCCAGGAATGCCTGCATTGTTTATTCTGGACCCTATTTTGAAATTGGAATATTTTAAATTTTGTGTGAAATTGGCCAAATTACCAATTTCCAATCACTTTATTGGGTAGTTCAGATAGTTGATTGAGCAATTTCTTATGCTCAGCCGATTAAATGGAAGCATTACTAGCAAAATAACTAAGAATTTGGTTGACTGGAATAATGTAATTGGCCTAAAATGGGAGTCAAAGTGGGCAAAATAACAGATGTGTAAATATTGCTGATGAAGCAAAATTCGTGAGCGTAATTTTGTCAATTTGTCATCAAATTTCATACTTTTGTTTTATTACCTTCAGAAAAAGATTCTCTTCCATTTCTTAACCCTTTCAGGGTCCATCACGTAGATCTACGGCTTTACGTTCAGGGTCCAAACTGTAGATCTACGCCAAAATTCTAGCGGCGTCAAATTTAGCGCGTGAAGGCTGGTAGGCCTACATCTGAGAGAATGGGTCTGGGTGGTCAGTGTGCACACCATAGAAAAAATCTGCACGCCCGCATGGCATTGTGGGAACGCCGGCAAAGTAGCTTTGTTCATTGTGCCTGGCGGCAAGGAAGCTCTCACTCCCCACCCACTCTCCGGGCGAATTCTGACTCTCCTCTTCACAGCTTACAGTTCTAAAACTGATGGAAGTGGAGATGAAGACGAATTCTATGGTTTTGAACCATATGGTACCATTGTGCCATATGGTACAATGGTACCATATGGTACAATGGTGCCATGTCATACAATGGTATCATATGGTACAATGGTATCATATGGTAGAGTGGTACCATATGGTACAATGTACCATATAGTACATTGTACCATATGGTACATTATACCATGTGGTACAGGGACCCTAATGGAAATAAATCTGTCTGACTTTTTTGGGTTATCCTAGGTTCTCCAAACATATGCTGCTAAATATGATATTCTATGTAACTTTATTTGTGTGTAACTAAATAAACTTACTTATGATGCCACATGCACTTGAGTAAGTTTATTCAGGTGTACAGAAATAAAATTACATAGATTATCATACATAGCAGCATATGTATAAAATCTTAGGATAACCCAAAAAAGTCAGGATGACTTATTTCCATAGTTATCCCTGTATCTGTACCATATGGTGTCCTGTACTGTATGGTACTCTGTACCATATGGCACCCTGTGCCATATGGTACCCTGTGCCATATGGTACCCTGTGCCATATGGTACCCTGTACCATATGGTACCATGTACCATATGGTACCCTGCACCATATGGTACCCTGTACTGCATGGTACCCTATACCATATAGTAAAATGTGCCATATGATACCCTGTAACATATGATACCGTGTACCATATGGTCAATAGGTGTTGGTGGCATGAGACACCAGCCAAGACTGAGTGAGTGGTGATACAAGCTAGCGACTGACTCCGCAGTTTCCGAGACAAAGTACTTTGTCATCCACCTCAAGGAACACATCAGGTTCCTGTACACTTGTAAATATATAATAGAACATTACTAATATACAACATTTTTGCATATTTTTGTTGTAAACAACTGTTGTAAACAAAATAATAATGAAAATATTAGTGTGTTTATT